GTTTGGCAAGTCTCTGCTACAAATCTTTTTAAATTTATTTTTCTATTGGGGGGTGAAATTTATCTCTTTTATTTTATGTATCATGTTTATTATAAAAATTTAAAAAAATACATAGAGGATTAATAAAAATGTGTTTTTAACAAAATAACGACATTTAAAAAGACTCGTATTTTATTCTTACTAATATGACGTCGGGAACATAAGACACTCTTACTGATTTTAATGTGTACCTGATCCAGCACAGTAGTAAGTTTATTTAAGTAAGGTATACAAAAGTATAAATCAGAGTATAATAAAAATTGAAAAAATTTTTTTTAAAAATTTTTTAAAGGATTTCCCAGAAAAATGGGAATTTTTAGTGCTTACTGAGCCCCCAAAAGAATGTAAACAAAAAAGGGGGGGCCGGGTGACCGTATTAAGAAAGTGGGGGGGGGAGCCGTAAGGAGTTTTGGTCAAAATTTAAAAATTACCGTATTAGCGGAACCCCCGTAAAGGAAACGCCAAAAAGCGGGGCCCCCCTGCTGTATAGCACACCTATTTAAACCTTAAAAAACATTTTTGTTCTTCCCTTTTAATGATGGTAAAAATATATTAAATAAAATTCGAATAAATGAAAAGGGAAAATTTAAAAACTGTGCATTAGCAAAATGTTTAACACAAAGCACGTGAAGTAAACCTCCCGTAAAAATAAAACAAGATAATTCGGTTGGTTTCAAACTGGAAGTAACTTTAAACTGGGCTCAAAGCAGCAGAAAATTTAAATTTTGCTGATTTTTCCTGAGGATGGGTAAGGTTCCCCTAAACCCCTGGTCTATTTTATGGTTTTGAAAGGTAGGTCGTTCAATTACTGGAATGAAATAAAACCATGACCAATCAACCATGGATATATTTTATTTCCGGGAACAGGGAAATCTTTGTTTTTTTTCGACAAGAATTCAACAAAGGGCAAATGTTTTTAAACAAGACAAGTGAATATAGCGGACAAGTGTATATAGCAAAACAAGTGTAATAAAACAGAGACAATGTTTAGTGAGATCTGGGAAATTTTTAAATTAACAAACATAAAATTGTTTTAGTGCTGGAATGTCTATGCTGCTTAATTTTGTATTTTAAAATTCAATTTTGCAAAATTTTTCCCTAAAACTGGCTAATTTTCCCCAATTGTGTGCATTTTAAGGGTACTTTTTATAGGTGAATGGGCGTTTCTCGAGTTCGGGGCAAAAAAACAAACAAAACAAAAACTAAAAAAAAAAGAACACAAAAAAAAACTAAAAAGGGCAAAAAGGGCCAAAAAACATGGAAAGCAAGCGCCATTTAAAACAAAAATTTTACCAAAAAATTTAACTTTGGGGCATTATCTAAAATTTCACTAACAAAAAAATTTTTTTTTTTTTAAAAGGGAATGCAATAAATTCGGGGTCTGGAAATGAAAAATTTAATTTTTCATAGGGCTCAATATTTATACCCCCCAAAAAACCAAAAGGGGCACGGGAAAAACACCAGAAGTAACAAGCACCAGTATACAACACCAGGACACAGCAGCAGGACACAGCACCAGTGCACAGCACCAAGACACAGCACCAGTACACAGCACAGTACATGGCACCAGTACATGGCACCAGGACACGGCACCAGGACACGGTACCAGGACACAGCACCAGGACACGGCACCAAGACACAGCAAGAGGACACAGCACCAGTAGACAGCACCAGGACACAGCACCAGGACACAGCACCAGTACACAGCACCAGGACACAGCACCAGGACACAGCACCCAGACTCAGCACCAGTACACAGCACCAGTACACAGCACCAGTGCACAGTACCAGTGCACAGCACCAGTACACAGCACTAGCACACAACAGTACACAGCACCAGTACACAGCACCAGTACACAGCACCAGTACACAGCACCAGTACACAGCACCAGTGCACTGCACCAGCACACAGCACCAGTACACAGCACCAGCACACAGCAGCAGTACACAGCACTAGCACACAGCACCAG